TAGTAGTAGTAGTAGTAGTAGCTTTTCAGCTTTCCACGCAGCTGGGGAGTCCGGCCAAGCGTCGAGTTTAGAGCAGATTCCATCTGGCGCCTTTTCGGCACACGGCCGTATTGGCCGTCTCTGATAACTGCTACCACCGCCTCGTAAGGCCTTCAAGCATGATAGCGAGAATCACGAGTATAGAAAAGTAAGTAGCAATCACGTAAATGACTTTGCAGCGGTGCAGGAGCTAGGACTGCCGGTCTATGATCATCACATCTCCAGAAGGTATCGCCCTGAGCAAGATGGGCAGTATAGTGCCCCGAAGTTGGCGTTAGTCCATGATGCACCACGTATGCCGCAAGTCTGTACTTGATTTGAGAGCGTTCCAGCCTCGAACTTGTAAAAGAGAGAATCTGAATTTCCCCATCAATGTGAACCTCTGTGCGGTTTTTGATAATTTGGCCATGTCGTCGAGAAAATCGCATGACTTGTAGAGCCAGTGCCAAGGGTGGGGCCACAAACCCCACGGTGCGATCCAGGTCGTTGTGCCAGTGATCCACCAAAGATTGAACCTTGAGCGAGGCTGCAAGTCCTGGTGGTAGACTGGGGATTGGAAGAGGAATAGCCTGAGTGCCAAACCCCCGATCGATGCAGCTAGCTGCATCCCCCATAGCAGCAAGCCGTCTGGCTTGCCATTCCCCTTGAAACAGCAAAGGTTGCATGTGAATAATTATGTGGCTAAAGAACTCGCAAACGTCGTGTTGCCTATGTGCCTCCAGCCAGCCATCCAAGATAGCTGTCCACCCAGCGACCTTTCCCAGGTCAACGATCGCTTCAATGCTCCACAGTTGTGCGAAAAAGGTTGCACCTCTCCCCATAATCTCCTTCAGATCTCTGCCTGAAGCATGTACAATCCACGCAATAGATTGTATCAGAGCATTCATATAGCATTGATTCCCACGATTGATAAAGCTGTGCCTCACAACGACTTGAGCATGTCCTGGATCTTCTGCGCCGTGGGGCATTTGGAGAGCCTCTCCCGCCTGTACCCCAGCCCGATCAACTGGAAAACACAATTGCCCTGTAGGTCTATCATCAGGTCCCAGATCTCCTCTGCATGCTTGTTTCTCACCGAGAGGTCGAGATGGAAGGTCGCCTTGGATTCCATGGTTTCCGTGAGCCGGCGGGTGCAGTGGAACCTGTGAACCACATCCCGCTTGAGGTGGGTGATGAAGAACTCCAGCTTGTTGGTCATGTCCACATCCGTCACCTGGGGTCGTGAGTGGTCTCGTTCCAGATGCCGAAGTTGAGGGTTCCAAACTTGATAGAACCACCCTTTGTCGTCCCGCCATCCCATGTCCGCGGCCTTTTTGAGCAGGTCCTGGCTTTGAAGCACTTTTTGGTGCCTTTCCCGGAGTTCCCGGTACATCGCGGTGGCCATAACCATTCAGGGGCACATGTGCCAATCCCCAGGTGGGTTCCGACTGTTGTCGCTTCTTGAACGCCACCGCTGTTTGATAGAGATGTGGCAGTACCGAGTCCTGCCCCGGGCTGAACCATAACACCAGTGTGGTGTCCTGCTGCAGCAATCGGATCTCCTCCTCGTGCCTGATCGCCAGCCTTGCTAAGGAAAGCACTAAGGGATCTCTGCCTGAGGTTCTGTGTCCCTGGTACCGTCCTCGGGGGTTCCATTGAGCTGGCTCCCAATCTGCCCACCTGCCATGGCCCTGTTCCGTCTCCCGCCTCCTCTTGGTGCTGTCGGCCATGGCACCTGGTGTGAGGCTGGGTGGTGGGGGCTTGACCGTCCCAAAGAACTCCGCCATCTCCTGGTCCGGTTCCTCGAACGGCATTGTCCAGGTCCTGGGTGAGGCATAAAACTGCGAACTGCCAAACGGAAGTACACTTCCGGACGTGAGCCCGCCAGTCCTGATGTACAAGGTCACAAAAATGGCACCGGATACTGGGGGTGGCGCACCGCTCTATTAAGCTCGCAATGTTGGCTCCCAATTTAGGAAAAAGCTCCGGGTGCGAATTGCGATAATGAAGCTTCATCACTCTGTTGGTTGCCGTCCATTGTCCACATATGGCGCAGTGTTGTTGAAGATGCTTGCCCAAGGTTTTGTATGGGATAAAGAACCTCAGACCTTTGCGAGCAATCCTTTGAGCAGTGAGCTGAGAGGCAATGGGAGGTGCATTTGGAATCTCCTCAGTGGGCAGCTGGACCAACGCACTTTCAAGCTGATTTTCAGTCGACTGCCAATTTGCGAGAGTGCAGAATGGACGCCAATGCCCACCTTCTTTGATTCGCCTTGTTGATGCGGTGCCTTGTGGATCTAGCCTCAAAGCCATCGTATGAGATAACTAGCCCGAGATATTCCGTGTGTGTGGTCAGTGGTAGCCACCTGCTGGGATCTCCCGGTAGAAGAAGTAGGCGATTGCCCTCGTCGTGTTGTCTCACGTAGGATTTGCGAATCTTATGTTTTCCTGAGCCCGACAAGAGAAGTATGGCCTGTGTCTTGGTGTAGTTGACCCGCATGTCGAAGTTCGCAAAGAGCCTAAGGATGATGCGGAGTTCTGTGATAGCCCGTTCGAAGCCAGAGTAAGTTTGGAACTGCCATCTCAAATGACTGTCGTCAGCGTACATGGCCACGTGCTCGGCTGCCCACCCTTGGCCCAAGCGTTGATCGAAGGCCTGACATAACAGTGCTGTGAAAACAGACCAAAGCACCGGAGAAAGAGGGCCGTACCCTCTTGGATTGTCCTTTGTGCCGGAAGGAGTAGACCACCTGCCTGAGCCATTGGAGTAGGAGTTCCTGGATGGAAGGGTCAATTTCAGCTAGTGCGAGGGCCTCTCGAAGGTGGCCCCAGTTCACGAGGTCGAATGCGGCTGTTAGGTCCAATGAGACCTGTAGTCCGCCATGGAAAGAGCCCGACTCTTTGGCGTGATGCTGGCCTTCGTGCTTTTGGTGAATGTTCAACCTGGTCCTTGCACAGGCAGTCCTCACGTCGGCACAATGTGACATCACAACTTTAAGAGCCGTGGTTGTGCTTCGGCCTGGAACGTAAGCCGTCTGCGGCCATCGCTTGACCAATGCAGCAATGCAGTCCTTCGCCTGCAGAGTAATTACTTTCATCATCGTCTTCCCGAGCGGATGTTGTAATCCGATGGGTCTGAGATCTAGTGGCATTTTAGCCTTCTTGCTGCCTTTGGGGAGTAGTGCCACATCTGCATCAGCCCATGGCTGCTGGATTTCCACCAGTGGTTGGCTCCAGGCCTCGTTCACTGCCACAGTGAGTGGTCCAGCGAGTTGGTTTGCACAGGCTTTCCAGATGGCTGAGGGAACGGCCCCAGGCGGGACAGCTTTCCGTGCTGGCAGTTGCTGGAGCGCTGCCTTCACATCGGTCACCAGAACTTGAACCGGTGGGTGCTGTCTGCACAGTGGACCTGGCGAAACTGAGTTTGCTGCCCCATATCTTTCTCCAAAGGCCTGGGCAATCCAGTCCAACTCCGCCTCTGGGGCCATAATAGTTCCATGTCTATGCAGCTGAACGCGTCTGAACTTCGTCTTGGTAGCCAGGCGTTTGACAACTGACCACATCTGGTACAGGTCGCCCTTCGTTGCTGCGTCCTGTGCTTGGACCAGCAGTTCATCTCTCCTAGCTTTTGCTCTTCTATTTGCTCTCTGCTTGTGAAGCCGGTGTGCCTCTGCAAACCGGGTCCAGAGTTTCCAAGCTTCCATGATGCCCTGCATGCTGAAGCGCTGTGTTCGCATCTGTCGGAAAAGTTGCCACATGTGTCTGGCTGAATTAGCCAACTCAGCCGGCTGCGTGGGTGCCACTTGAGGTCTGGGGGGTCTCGGGTAGTGTTGTAGAGCAGCCTGCAGAACGACGTTGTCGAAATCAGAAGTCGGATTGAGTGTCTCCGCCACTGTTTCTTGGAAGGCCTGTAGTCTGGGTGCCTGCGGGTCGTGATGAAGGTCATGAAGAACGCTGGGCAGGTCCACCTGTTGCACCGGGGTCTTGGCATCAGCCTTCCAGTACTGTTTGGGTACGGGCACCGAAGCAACCACAGGAAAATGTTTGGCGCCTTCGCGCCATCCAGCCACGGGGTAATCCACCAGGATCTGGGCCCTCCTGGCCTCACTGTCGGCCTGTGCTCTACGAACAATGACAAAATCGATTTGTCAGGACAGATTGCCGAAACGAAAAGTGGCCAGTTGTTTGTGAATGGGCCTAGTCCACGTGTTCAGCACAGTTAGGGAGAGCGCCTCGCAAATGTGCATGAAGTCGCGGAAGTCCTGCTTGTGATATTCTCCAATGGGCAGCACATACTTGCCACATACGTTTGGTGTAGGTTCACATGTAGTGTTGAGGTCTCCTGACATGATCAAGGAGTGACGTCTGGGGAGGCCGGCCAGGCATCGCTGTAGTCGTTGTAGGTATTGCTGCCTTCGGGCCATAGTCTCCGATTTGTCGTTTGCTGAGAACTGATATGCATTGATCAAGTCAATGGACGTGTTGCCTGCGGGGACTCGTACATGAAGCAGGCGTCCTGCCCAGACATGATTGAATTGTATGTCCGAGCACTTGGCTATGCGAGTGGAGACGATAGTAAGTAGCCCGCCAACCTTGTCAAACTTGTTGGCTCCAGCTGAGTGTATGTAGCTGAAGTCCTGGTTGCCCCAACAATATTCCTCCGTCCATTTCGTCTCCTGGATGAATATGACATCCAGACGTTGATCTCTGATATATGTTTCCAATTCTTGGAAGGTGGGCTTTGTTAAGCCCCCCGCGTTCCATGTGAGAACACGAAGACGGTGCTGGGTACCGACAGCTGGACTTGGCCTGGGCAGATAGACAGGTTTAACGGGCACTTTCTGCAACCACTGAAAGCTTCGCCACCGGCCTTTGTAATAGGAGCTGCCTTGTCTGGCCGCCCTGGCAAACGCTCTGCTATATGTCCTTTTGGTGATTCTATTGTTGTCAGAGTGCTCTGGTTTAGGCACGCTAGCCTCTCGAGCTCCGCATAGCTTTGTTCCAACAGGAACTTCAGGTGGCATCGCGGAAGGGCCACCAACCCTCACGTCTACATTCACAGTCTGGACTGGATAGATGCACACTGCAAACCAAACGAATTGAAGAACTCTTGCATGCCTTGTGCAGTTGTGAATGTGACCGGACTTGGGACCGGTCCGGCTTGTGGTACTTGTACGTCCTGAGGTCGCGATTTCACCATTGCAAGCTTGTATTTGCTGAATAGCTGCAGACTGATTGTCCTGTCTGGAAGTGGTTGTCCAGCAGAATGGCGAAGCCATTCTGAGACGAAACAAACTGTACTGTATGGCTCGAACAAAGCTGTAACAACCTGCCAAGAGTGCACCATACAATAAGGGTCCCACAATGGCCATGTTGAGCTGGTCTGTGCTGTACCTGTTCGTCCAGGATTGCAAGTGAGAACGAAATTGTCCACTCAACCACTCGCTTGCAAATAGGGCCGAGGTCATTCTTTTCCCGCTTGGCCCGCACATATTCGCCGAAGATTGTTCAATGTGCACAGGCTCAAAATGAAGCTCAAAAAGAGGCTGAGGAAGGGCAGCAGCCTTCGCATGCCAACGTGAACCTCCCTGCGTGGGGTTAGACTGACTCGGCTTAGGACTCACTTTGGTAGGTTCAGCTGCCTCGTCTCCGCCTGGGTGTGTCCAGGTGGGGAACCCCAGGTACTGAACCCCTAGAACCAAGGTCAAGACAGCAAAGAACAAATGAGGGAACCACTTTCTGTAGTTGGTTGCTCTCGGCTTGGCCTGTGGCTCGGTTCCGGTGCCTGTGGAAGAGCCTGGATCCCCGTCTTCGTCGTCTGCTGGTGCATGCCATCCTGGCGGTGGTCCTGGCGGGGGTCTCGGCCCATCCATCGCATGGTCGAGGTCGGGCATTACCGAGGCATTCTCCGAGTCGGGATCGTGGCCAGTGGGCTCGGGGTTGACCGGGTCGTGGTCCGGGAAGTCGACCTCGACGGTTCGAATCTCCTCCGCCGTCAGCACTGTCCGACCCTCAGACTTTATGGCCTGAATGATTGCGTTCAGGCGGCGATCTCGTGCTTCCTCACCGAGTGGCGGCCCAGGTGGGGAACGGGATGTACCTGATGTCCCGGTGGAGGCCTCTGTCCCCAGCAGGGCCGTCCTGGCCGAATGCAGTCCAAGCTCCTCATTGAGGTGGCTGGCCTCCGTGCTTGTCATCAAGGGTCGGCCTGCTGCTGTAAGTCGGGCCAGGATGCGCTGTCTCCTCGAGGACCTTCCTTCGGTGTGGGTGCCGTGGCCCAGGTCGTCTTCCATGGTCTCCTCTGCCTCAGCCCTGTCAACGTGCTCATTGCCGCGCACGTTGCCGTGTCCATGGCCGTGGCCGTGCTCCCAGGAGACGTGGCCGTCCTCCTCCGGAGGCTCCTCCTCTGCTTCCTCCTGTTCTGCCGGGGCTGAATCATGCACGGTGAGCACATTTGGATGTGCCCATTCATGGGGTCTCATCGCTCGGATGCTTACCACGATGCTTCGCAAATGCCTGATGTCCCACGGCAGGTAGGTCAGGATCGTGCCCTGGAAGGAGAGCTCCCTCGCCACTGCACCGGAGATCTGGTGGGCCAACTCTTGCTGCGCCTGTGCCGGCAAAGGAGTCGGTGGACCAGCTGGGCGGCTGGGAGGTGGTGCCTCCTCAACGGAAGAGTCTGACATGTCAGCTGCTGCACCAGTGGTCCTAGGGCCCTGTTGAGCCTGTGCTGCACATGCTACCCAGATGACACAGTACACTTGAAGGCGCAGATGCAACAAGCTTCCGAAAAACACCGCCCTTAGCACTCTGTGTGGCATGGGGCACAAGAGGATCTCCGTCATCATCAGCAGCCAAGGTCCAATCCTGGCAGCATGATTGTTTCCCGTACGTGATCTAATGCGGGGTTGTCGTCGCCTGTGGCGTGGTGCCGGCTTTGGTCTCCATCTCCTGCCTGTATTCCCAAGACAAACTTTACCCTGAAAAATTCGCGGGGCTTGTGGGGACTTGCCTGACCGAGAATGGTTCGTGACGTCTGCCGCCATGAGCAAAATACCAGTCTGCTTCCCACCCAGAATCCCACAAAAGCTGTTAGTCCATGGATTCCAGTTCAACATATATTGCATTTGGCTTGGAGGTAGGCCAAAAATGTGATAACCATGCCGGATAATATAATCTGACCCACCGGTAGAGAACACGTTCACATGGTGGGAAGCAGGACTGTCGTGCGGCCTGTAGAACACGGCCCGGGTGATCCTGTGCTGTCCAATCATGATCCCACTGGATAAACCAATCGAGGTTGTTGACATAGCCACCTGCTGTTCTGAGCATAAGTTCGCCAACAAATGAAAGGAAAATCTGTCTCTGTGCAGGCCGGGAGAAGAGGTCTCGGGCGTATTCGCCGTCCTCGTCGAGAGGCTGCTTGTTAGGGTTCGGGATGTACAGTTGCAAGTCTGCAGTCTCAAGCCAATCAGTGCCGGCTGCAGCCATATATAGATGAGCCAATGCTTCATAAGATTGCACCACCAACTGGAAATTCGTGTGTTTCCCTGGAACACAGATGGCAGCGCTGTCGAAGCGAAGGGCTGCGTTTGCTTGCTGGCCTGGGACCTTCTAGAGAAGTTAAAGTTCGAAGAGAGGCCCAGCTGTTGGTGCGACCTTGTCGCGGGTACCTCTGCAAGCCGAGACGCTTGTAGTAGTAGTAGTAGTAGTAGTTCTTGTTGTTGTAGTAGTAGTAGTAACAATAATAATGCGTGAGGGTTTGGTACACGATATAGCGTATAACCTCACTCCCCTCAGATGAGCTTGTAGTTGACGTAATGCTGTTTGCCCTTCCAATGGTTCAGACAATGATCCCTCGCGAGCACACTCGGACCCACGCTTTTCACTGCGTCGAGCCGTGTCAGGTGCTGTCTTTGCACGAAGGCTGTACGCACTGATCTATGGCAAGCAGATCGATGGATAGTGCTGATCACTTGTTGACTTGAGCCACAACGCCGATATGTTGAGCTGTTCCGACCTGGTGGGCGAAACCCTCCCAAGGTCATGGCAAACATGTGGTAACATAGCTCTTAGAGAAATTGCACTAGGCTTCGATGTCTCTTCACACCCCCCATGAGTGATGCCTCACTAACACGTTCAGGAGACTTGCCGGTAAGGGAGCCTTCTAGGTCCCGCAGCGCAGGCACGAACACCTGGGTCCAGTCGGCAAAAAACCAACATGAGATCTCCTGAAACACTAGACAACCAGGTGAGCATATGTGATAGTATGCACATATCTTTCATGGCATACTAGGCATACTACGTCACCACGAATCTGGAATGCCGACAACCCTAAGGCTGGAGCTTTTGAGGCGAATGTCGCCTCCGCGAACGAGAAATCCAGAAAAATTCAGAGGCAGTTCCGAAACCAATCTGCACGGCTGCTCTGTGCCCGTGGCTGGATGGAAGAGAATCAGCATCGTTGGGAACGGCCGTTCCAACACATCTGGCCTGAGACTGGCAACAGGTGCTTGCAAGATGCCAAGGTAACTGCACGAATGTTTGATTCGTTCCTCTCCGTTCCTAGAAGAACTGGATGACCTACAATGGCAACGAGACTTGGAACCCCAGGGTCACACTCTGACGAAGGTGAATGCTTCATGACTTGCACGACGGGTACAAGAAACAAAAAGTCATGCCTGAAGCATAAGGCCCTTGCATCTGGCCGAAATTGACCACTTGGAAATCTGCAACCTTGCACATTGCATCACGTTCTGTTACTCCGTAAACATCGCGCACCTCTAACATGTAGTGATGCTGAGAAGCTGCTAGACATAACAAGCGATCGCACGGCTTCAGCGCTCACACTATATAACTTTCGACACGAACGTCAACATCCCGTCGAGTCTGCAAAATGTCGCATGCCTCTGCTTTCAGCGATGCTGCTGTCGACGAGGCTCCGAAACGATCAGCAAGTGCAACTCTTCTTCCGACTGCCTTCAACCAGCAAACGAGCATGGAGGCCCTAGAAGGATTTGCGATTGAAAAGCAACACCCTACGGCCCTACGACTTGCCTGCTTTTCATGCTCCGCCCGCTGCAGAAGGTACGGCAGGTTTCCGTGCACAAGCAGGGTCGGGAGCGCGAGCTGCCATGTTGGATGTTCGCTGGAACACGTAAACACCACATCATGCAAGCTCGGAGAAGCAATACAAGTGGCACAATCCAGACAAACGTGCCGAATGCCACCATGGCCGCGAATGTCAGCCATGGAAGGGCGACGAATAGTTTCTGCCATTTTCGTTCCGCAGGTTCCAACCTGCCACGAAGAGCCACGCGTCGCAGAATATCAAGCAGTACTGCATGAACTACATGTTTCCTGGACAGCTGGTCCAATCTCAACTTGACATCCATTCCGAGAATTTGCAATACTTGCTTGCACAAGCTGCCATCAAACACTACACGCAATGTGTGCCTGTTGTCCGGCAGAAGAAAAGCCTGCCGCGGCTGGTTCTGGGTGGACAATTGGACATAATCAATTGAACAGCACACCCTCACCCATCAACCCACCCAAAACACACTAATCCCGTCACCAGTCCAGTCCACTACAAGAAAACATGCTGTGCAGGTCACACATGACATGTCTTGCTCAACGATTATGGGTGCTGAGCTCGTGTTTCCATATGCCTCTTTCGGACACTCCATTCGATGACCACCTCTTCCATGAGGCACCCCACATCTTTCAACAATCGCACACAGCTTGCTCTGTTTGGGTCTTGGTCCGCCGGCTTGTGTATTGTGTGTATGCACGAGCAAACTCTTCCGCCATCGAGTTGCAACTCAAACGACATGCCCGAACCCATGCAGGAACTATTTAAGGCACGACGGATGCAACAAACACCAAGCACTCGCATGATTGGGCTCATAATGTAAATAAAACTACGAAAAGAATCGGAAGACATTCCCATACGATCCACAAAAGAACGTCTTATGCAACCTCTTTGACGTCCCGGTATCGATGTATGTCGGTGGGAATCCAGGCAACATTGCAACATTGATCCTTCCCAGCTGTCGTTCAGAAGAAACACAAACGCATAGTCGATGGAAAACATAATGATGTTGATGACTTGGTGATACTTGATGCCTAGTCATGATGCAATTGTATCATTACAACCCGGGGAAGGGAACTTTAGGCTAATCACAGTTCGGTTATCTCACAAATGTTCGCCTGCGGCGACCTCGCCCTCTGCCATGTTGTGCACGGACAGTAAAGACCCCAAACACAGCATGAGATGGGCTGAGTCTGCTGCATTGGGATCGTCACTGGGCAAATAGCGAACGGCTCCAGGTCCGGCCTTGCGCAAACGCAACATGCTTCGAATAGTATAGTATCTCTCAGCTCTCTATCTGGCTACGTAAGGAAACGCAACAGCAGGCCGGACAATTAGAGTATAATGAAGTATAGTATAGTAAGAATTAGTATAGCATAGTATAACATTCAATAATTATACAGCATAGCATAGTATAACATAATTTGATGAACAGATTAGCGTCCTCGACCCGTTCCCGTGGCTGACCAAGCGCCGGACGCGTGCCACCAGCTCTTTCCGCCGGCTCCGTGCTAAGATCGCTTCAATGGAGTTGTCGGCCTGCAACCGGAGAAAAATCAGGCCGAGCTTCGAAGCATGCTAATCATTGTGTATCATGCCCGTCCTCCAGTTCATCTGGTGCCCCGCGAGTGGCAATTTCGCCACCATCCACCACGGCTGTTTGGTGGCCGTCCTGGAATAGTGCACCGGCAACTTTGTCGTCTGTGGAATTGTGTACCGATGAGATCTGGTCTCAATGATGCGGGCGTGAGTCTAGGAACGTGCCGAAAGAAGCCCTGATCGTTTGGCAGCACCGTGCACAATGTGTTGCTACCTGCATGCACGTGCCCTCTCTGTCCCTCTCTCTGGCTGGCTTCCTTCCTTGCTTCCTTCCACAGGGTTTGAGCCCAGCAGCCCGGACCCGCGTCTCGCTCGCTCTTGCTTGCTTGCGTCCAACCATCAATCGACCGTTCGGGCCAGGCGTGCACCCTTGCC